CTCTCTCTCTCTCTCTCTCTCTCTCTCTCTCTCTCTCCTCTCTCTCTCTCTCTCTCTCTCTCTCTCTCTCTCTCTCTCTCTCCTTCATTACAGCTGACCTCACTGCGTCGTTTGGTGCAGCCCGCATTCTGGCAAATAAAAAGCAAAGGCTCCGGCACATCACGTACCCGTCACGACCAATCGCAGCCCACTACCGGGCTATCGGGCCGCCACTCGGCGCTGGAGAGGTGATGTCATCCGCCCAGACTCACGTGGTGATCAGCAGTGCGGGTTTCACTGCAGGCTCGCAGCGTGATGTCACCTGCCGAACCTCCGAGCTACACGAGCCTCGTGTGGGGCCAAAACGCCTGTTCTGCGGTCACGATCCCCCAGGGACGCTATAGAGGCTGCAGAAGCTCGATAAACTCGCAGGTGTAGGTGAACCATTCAACCATTGTACCATTGTGCAGCTTTCGACACGGTGGGCGAGTCCTGGCTGCATTGGTCTCATGAGTCGGTGGAAGGCACTCGAGTCAAATGCCGACGCACCGGCGGCCATTGCAGCATGTAGGTCTGAAGACGTCCCGTCGCCGTCACCTCACCGATCTTCCCCTGATCGACCCCTGCCTCCCCCACCACCGCCCTCCCGGCGTCTTTGTTCCAGCTCGCTCGTCACCGCCCATGTGGTCCGCCGCACCGCGCGCGTCGCCTCGATCGATGCGCCCGTCGCCGGCCCAGAGCGGTTCAATCCGCACGCATCAGCTGGGTCCGCGCGCCGTCATCGCCCGCCGGCGCACGCCCTCTCCAGGGTCGTATCGACCGACTCGTCATCGCCGCTCCTCCCCTCCCCTCCCCCCACACACACTGAGCAGCAAACGATGGTGGTGGGGGCGGGGCCTGCCCGAAAGGGAAAGGCCGCCGCGTGCAGTGGCTGCGTGCAGCGGGTGTAGTGCTCGCTATCTGGTTAGCGTGGGCTGGCCACCCTCACGGGGAGCGGTCCGGTTTGGCTTGGTTCGGACCCGGCGATGTTGACGACGCCGCTGGCACGGTGCCGATCTGATCTTATCCCGAGCTGCTTTGTTTGGGCACACTAGACCACCCGCTGCTGGGAATGTGACGTTGAACTGCGCAGTGGTGCTTGCTTTGACCCCCCGGGGCATTAGTCGGCGCGTGTGAAGCCAGGAGTTTAGGCGATTTTCGAGCTCAAGCTTCGCAGTTCGCACGCTCAACGCTGCTCAGCTGCAGCCTTTGTGACAAATCTGTTTCGCGTGACATTATCTACACACGCACATATTATCTGGCCGCGGGCATGACTGCCTACGTCAGTTTGTTCTCCACACCTCTCGCAAACGCAAGGCAACTGTTTGTCGCGTGCCGAACGGCTGCATTCATGCACGATCAGCGGGAGTTCCATGAATCGTTTGGAGGTGAAGCAGCAATTTGTTCGCCAGACAGCAGCACCCGGTGCCTCCAGCAGCCAACCCCACCGGTTTTCGTGCTGCAAACGCACTTCCCCGCCTCCAGCTTCCTGCACCGGCTGCGCGACTTCCCCATGTCCTTGACGCTGTCGACCTGCGGGATACCTGTGACCCCGGCGCCGCAGATGGCGCCAGCTGCCACCGCGGACCGGTCCGACAAGGCAGCCATCCTGCCAGCTCTGCCGTCCAAACGCAGTGTCAGTCGACAGCCCAACAGTGACGCGAGATGCGTTGTCCACACGCGCTGACCACATGTCTAAATGTGCTGACCACACATCCACATGTCCGCAGGCGACGCGAGCCGCGTCCCCGTTAGGAAGAGACCGACCGCTGCCGTGTAAAAAAGCCCACGTGCCCACATCATGAGTCACGGGTAGAAATGCCGGACGCCGCTAGCACAGCTCAGCAGTCGGGTGTGAGTGAGCGTGACGTGTCACGGACGCTCGGCCGCCGATACGTGTTTTGCCACGACGCCTTCACGGTGTCCTGTCTCGATCTCGGTGAGCAGCCCTGTCGGGGCTGCCTGGAGGAGGCGACGCCGAGCTAGTGACCGCAGCTGACGTCTCGTGTGCGCTGCTGGGGCGGAGCTCCTCAGTCAGCACCGGCTCAGCCCGCTTCAACAGCGACGACCACTCCTGGACTCCAACGAACTTCGAACATCGCATTTGTAATATCTGCGTGTAATATCTCGCTTCAACGAAGACGAACGCAGCACGTTCAGCAAAGTCTTGTATTTATATATTGTCCACAGTACAATACAACGCGCGTCGCATTGCAATGTGAAGAAAACAGCCTCGCGTTCATCAATGAGTATGATCAATGATGTACATTCACAGGTTGGATGAACATGCAGTCTCAAACCTCGTGATTCGCCACCGACACCATTCAAAACGCTGCGAGGAGTCCCAAACTGACACGTCACGGAGCGCCAGCTCCAATACAACACTACGCGGGAGCACTACATCCCATCATGACACTATGCAGGTACTTGAGGTCCTAGTGCAAACGGGGCTTCACATCGGCGCACCCGTCTCCGTGGGAGCGCCGTCCGTCGTCACGCGCGCGCGCCCAACCACACCGCCGCGTTATTGTCGAGCCCGCGGCCTCGTCCCGTCTCCGCACAGCTCGGCGGAGCTTCAGACGCGACCGTGGCTCGCGCCCGAGCGGCCGTCCGACCGGAGCCGGTCACAGCCGACCGACGCGCGTCCGCTGCACCAATAAATAGAGCTGTCCTCGCACCATATCACAAGCCCGGCCTGGCCCGAGCGCTCCGCCCCGGTCCTTGCTCCGCCGCGGCGCGGGCCGCCCCGCGCGCGCGCGCTGAACACAGCCGACTAGCATGCGGTGGGGAGCGGGCGGCCGCCTAGTGGCCGGCCGGCTGCGAGGCCGGCTGCGACCGGGCTGGCTTGACCAGCGTCGGCGGGCCGCCGGCCGGTGGCGCCTCCTCCAGCTGTGCCAGCACCTCCGGCGACGCGTTCGTCTTGAGCACCTCGTTCTCGCGCTCCAGCACGCTGATCTTGTCCACCAGTTTGGAGATGTTGGCCTTGAGGACGTCCACCTCCTCGCGCACAGCCAGCAGAAGGTGCGACTTGACCAGGTCCTGCCGGAGAGGGGACACGCCGTCAGACGCCGTACCGTCGGCGCACGACAGACCGCGGGCTCGGGGCGCCCGCAGACACGGCGGCCGACGCGAAGCGGACTCGGTACTATGAGGGAAACAGGGTCAGCACGGTCAGCAACGTGGCCGCATGGCAAAGGGCCAAGGCAAAAAGTGGTCAAGGTAGCACGGTCATGCTGCTACTGGGGCAGCAGTGACGAGCTGTTTCAGATGTCGGAGTGCTGGGTCAGACGGGGCGACACAGGAAGCGGCCGGCCCACTCACTCCGTCGTTTTCAGGCCAGCCCGCAGAGACCCCGCCGACGTGTCAAAGGACTGCAAGCGGACAGGCCGGATATGCTGACCCGAATGACCCGAAAACGACCGCAAAGAGTGCAGCATGAACTGTGCAGCATGAACTGAACGACCGCATGAATTGCGCAGCAGATATATTCTTAACACAATGTACCCGCTGAAAAACGCAGCGGTTGATTTCTGAAAATAGACATAGCGGGACACGTTTAGAGCCCTTGTCCTCACGGGCGTGCCGTTTAGACCCCAGTTCCCACGGGCACGCGGTGCCTGCACTTCCACCCGTTCTCATTTCCAGTGGAATGGCCAGCTCGTGAACGGCATTCCGACAAGTGCACCCTCCTTTCCGTCCCAGTTCCCAAACACCTGTGACCTTGGGCAGGCCGGGGCGAGGCGACCACAACACTCCGTCGGCGGCCGTCAGCGCAGCGCTGCGAGGGGCGCCGCGCCGGTCGCCAGAGCCGGCGTCTGAGCCGGCCGGCAGCCGTATTCGGCCGGGGAGGCGTGACGTCCGCCGCGCCTCACGCCACTCCGGCCGGGACGTGGCGGCGCTGAATCAGCCGGCGCGTGCCAGCAGTCGCCGCGCGGTCACCCGGCGCCGGCCCCTCCAACCCAAACACGCTCGGCCCACGCGTCCGCCGCAGCCGGCCTGCACAGCCGGCGCCGCGATAACCGGCCACAGCCGCGCCCGCGGAGCGGCTCCGCAGCCGACGCCCGCGGCTGCCGCACGAGCGGGCTCTGCCGACGCGCTGCTGGGGAGCCGGCGACAGCGCAGCCCGACGCGGCCGTGGCGCTGTCGCCGGGGCGTTGGTCGGCCAGCGTCGCGCGCCGCGCTTTCCCTTCGACTCGGGACGGTGCGGGCCGCCCAGCGTCCTCCCGCCACGACGCCGCCCCCCGCTGCGTCGCCCCGGCCCCGAGGAGCCCGGCCGCCAGGCCACACTTGGCAAAGACGAGCCCGTTTAATTATAACGCCAGTCGCCGCGGCGAGTTTACATTCGACATTCCCGCGCGCGGCGCTCGCCCACAATAAAAACGGCGGACGGCAGAAAATCCGCGCTGACGAGGCCGGCCGGCAGATACACAAACACCGCAGTGGAATATTCCACCCGTGTCAGTTACGGCGGCGGCGAACTCTGCCTCGCACGACTCGCGAACCTTCTGAGGCGGCACCGGCCGGCGCTCTGTTTGGTAATTGGCCCCCGGGTGCGGCGCACCACATTTCCACCAACGGCGCAGTAGCGCCGGGCGCAGCTGCGGTTAGATCGCTGTACGCAGCGTGACTGGGCTGGGTCGGAGCCGACCCACCGCGCCCCGAGCGTCGAAAAAGAGAGAGTTGTCGGCGCGGCGGTGCGATCGCTTTAACGGGCCGCCTGCGACGCACCGGTCTGACCGAGCAGCTGTGCGAGCCTCGACGGCGGCGCGGCGGCACGGCCCGGGCTGTGACGAGCTTGGCGGTCGAGGCCGGGCCAGGCTGGGCAGGGCAGGGCTGATCTCACCGCAGCGGCACCGCTTCCGGCGCCGGGCGGTCGCCGGGAGAGACGAGGAGGATGTGCGAGGCAGTGCAGACCGCGGGGCGCGCCACGGTCCCCGCCACACGCCCAGAAGGCTCTGGAGCCTGTCGTCGACGTCACGTGACACGTGCCAGGCGCACCACGAACATGCCGCTTTGCCCAGAGGTGGGTGGCGACCATAAAACGTTGCCATTGTGAGACGAAACAAGCCGCGCACTGAGCACACGGCCGGGCACGGCAGAAGCGGGCGAGGCAAGATCGGCGGCAGTCCCTCCCCTCCCCTGGAAAAGTCTGGCATACACCCAATGGCATTGCATGGCGGGAAACAGCACGTTAAGTCCACGGTCTTAACCCCGCCCCCCCCCCCCCCTGCTTCTTCCACCCCAGTCCCTGCCCACACCAGCGTCTCATGCCGAAGCTTGACACGCACCTCCTCATCGACCACTACGTAGACGTGGTCCTCCATCATCTTGACGTCGAACACGACCGACGTCCTGCGCTTTAGCTTGTGCCGCAGCCCCTGGCCGGCCAGCGGACTAGCCGGGGTCGCCAGCGGCAAGAAGGTGTACACCGCCTGGTTGGCAAGCATGATTGCGTCTCGTCGTAGCCGTCGCCGTTCTGGCTCTTCGCCTTCTGTTTCTCTGAATCGCGTCCGGCTCGCGCTGCCGACTTCCCGCCTCGACGCAAGACTCGCCGAGTGTTCGCTGTGCACAGCACCAGTCACCACCGCCTCTGCGAGAGATAGCTCCGCCTGTCCTCGTCGGCGACCCTCCCCAATCCTCCTCCACACAGCGACTGCCGCCGACGCTGGCGGCGGCGCCGCGTGGCGTCGGCTGGTTCGCGTCGCGGCCGCCAGGCGGCGGGTGGCGGCGCCTCGCCGTCTGTGGGACGGCCGGCATGACCGGCGGCCAAGCGTGCACTTCCCGGCCGGCATGGCGCGGCACGGAAGCCGTAACAGATACACCCCGCGGCGCGGCAGCTGCCGCCGCCGTCGCACAGCAAGGCTGCCCCACCTGGCACCTGCGACCCCGTCTGGCACCCGCAGCCCCGAGGCCGCCGCCTCGTAAATCGGCGGGTGGCAGCGTGCCCTGACGTCCAGCCGTAGCCACGGCACAGAGAACACGGCGAGGCTACCTCGTTTGTCGCAGCCCCGGCGGATTCGCCACGTAACTCTGGCGGCGGCCGCAGCGGCGGCGACAAGCGCCTGGCGCCACTGCGCCGCTGCATCCGAGGGCGGCGGCGTCCGGGCGGTGCTGCCATGTCCTCTCCACCCTCAAACCGGGCTGCTGTAGACCATTCAGGGGCCCCGTGAGGCGCGGAGCAGCTTCGACACACCCGGAGATCCGCCGCCGCGGTGTGGTGCCTGGACCTCCGTGCTCGGTGGGCTGGCGGTCCAACCCTCCCGCCGACGGCAAGTGGAGCCGTCCCGGAAATGTTGCACACTCAGCCGGCGACGGTCCGTGTTGTGACTGGCCCGTCCGGCCGACACTGCGATACGCGTCGCTGATTCGGTAACAACCACAGATCATCTTGGGCGACCAGAGAACGATGGCACCAGCGCGACCTTTGCCACCATACAACACTAGGTCATCTGCCTGAGGCGCCAAACTGACCTGCGAAGCGGTGTGGTCCACTTAGGTCATCTGCTTGAGGCGCCAAACTGACCTGTGAAGCGGTGTGGCCCGGCTCTGCCTGGATAAGACAGCAGTGGAGTGCACTAGCGGTGCCGGAAAGCACGGCATGGAACCGAAGACACGCGCCAGTGCCCCATTCCCCATCGCGGAGAGTTCGCCAGCGCCCACGACCTGCACCGTCCGACGGCACTGCCGACAGCCCAGCGAACGGAAGTCCCGCGCTGAGTCCTGGCGGCGGCGCGTCTCCAGGGCGGAGCTGACGTTTCCCTCAGACGCGTCCGTCCGGCCCGGTCGCAGCCCCCACGTGGACGCACGCACGTCTCGCGCAGCACGTGACGCTAGCCTTAGGCGACCTGTGCACGCCATACGAACCGGACAAATCCAGCCACGTCCACCCGGAGCCGGACAGTGCCAGAGCAGAGCCACCTTCCGCAAAACCAGCAGCCTCAGCCTCAGCCTCAGCCTCAGCCAGGGACCTGGGCGAAACCGGCAAACCTCCTGCCCGGACCTGCAGATGGACGCGGCACGGCCAGGTTCCCGGAGAGTCCGAGTGTGACGGCGCGCGCTGTGAGCGCACACCCGAGTGGCGCGATGGAGACGCGCGCTGTATACTGATCCGACTATACGCCAACACCCAGAACACCTAGGATTAACCATACACCTGCTGTGGACGCCACATTAATACCCCGGATAATACGATGCCTATCAGCTGCACGGAGGTGCAGCGCCTTACCTTCTCAGGCGCGCCCGTCATGAATCACACCAACGCATCTCCGCGAGACACCAGCACTAAACAACCGATGCCCTCGTGCAGCCCCAGCGGCCCCGCCGCCCTCCCGCAGAGCACACGCACAGCTGTAATGACGCCCGGTCGCGCTAGGTGACTCGCTCAGCAGGGCTGCGCGGGCCGGAGAGCACCAGTCCGTGCACAGCCCCGGTCGAGCCGGCCCGCCCCACGGCCGCCGGAGCGGTTCTGCACGGCAGACGGGCGCTGGCGCCCAGCCCACTGGCCATCGTCGGACGGCTCTGGGCCGCGACAACTGGCGAACAAGCCCCTGGCCTGGGACGGAGTCGGAATCGCTGAAATCGCTGCAATCGGACGGAATCGCTGAAATGGCAGACCCGATGACAAAACAGACCGGCACCGCGCGGTTTGACCTTAGTATGCTGCAACGTCTGCACCAAGGATTACCTAATAGCTACATATGATAAAACTAATGAAAGAGGGTAGGAAAATAGGCGATACAAAATAAGCAATATACCTATATCAACACGGAAATTTTCCAGTCCATACCAAAAAAAAACACACAAGCAGCGGAAAGCATCCCGTCCTCCCTTTCCACAAATAGCCTTCCCCACAGCGCACACGCATCCATCGCGGGAGACGAGGCTTCTCTGGAGCCGCCGGACGTGCGGACCATTTGCTTCTCCGGCGCCCTCCCACTCCGCCACTGTGCGTACTCTGCCCGCGGCGCGTGATGGTCGGCGCGCCGTGCCAGCGGCGCGGGCCCTTGCGTCGCCGCTCGCCCGCCAAGGTCAGGCACGCACAGCGGCGCCGAGCCAAGAGCGGCAGCTGCCGCCGCGTCCCGTTACACGCACCGAGCAGCGGCCCAAGGCCAGGGCGGCGCCGGGCGGCGCGGGGTCGGCACGGGTCGATCGGAGGCGGTAACAGCGGCGCGTCATAACACAAGCGGATGGGCCGGGGAGCAGCGCCAGTGGTGTAACGTGCCGCCAGTGCGTTTGCATGCAGTGTACGTCACAGTTCGTCCCTATGTAAACATCTGCGAGTTTGGTAACGGACAAGAATCTCGAATTCATACGTTATCTAGCAGCAATTCGTGAAACAGCTCAGGCTGAACCTGCGCACCCACCAAAAGGCGCTGCGCGGAAGGCCGCTGGCGAGGAATTCATGTCTTTCTCATCTTTCTCCGGTCCTTAATACCACGGAGCGGGGCCAACTCGCGCGGCACGTCCGCGGCCGCAAACGGCCATCTCCCGACGCCGCCCACCCAAACTTCAGGAGAGAGAGACGAGTGTGAGACAGACCGCCGTCGCTTTCATGACGTCACGCACGTCAGGCGAAGCCGCGTGCGGTGCCGGGCTGACGTCGGTCGTCCGCGCCGCCCGGGGAAGAAAGCTCAGCCGCAAAACGGCAGACCACCATCAAACGGGCTTCCTCTTTCCGTGCAGGGCTATAAGCCGCCGATGGTCGGTTCCGACGGTAGGCGGACGTCGACGAAAGTAAGTAAAGTGGGGCGACAGGCACGCGAGGGCCACGCTTCGACGAGTCCGTCTGCCTGCCGAACAGCCGGTGCTGCGACCACCAACATCCTCGGTCGACCTCGGGCGCCGATCAGATAAGAACGGAGGCTTCAGATTACGCTGACCGCAAGGTCATCTTGCACGCACTCTTGAAGATAAGACTGAAGAGAGAGAAAGGAAAAAATCCGCTTCGCAGTAGCAAACCTGCGTGCTGTGCGATCCTCGAATCGACTTGAGCGCAGACCTGCAAAACGCCCGGCCATCAACAGCGCACAAATGCATTCTGAAGTCCTAGTGCACTGGGGCATTTTATCACAGATATGGCCATGCCCAAACCGGTGCAGCCACTTCACAGAAGCCTGGGCTACTGGCGGAGATCAGCCTGGGCTGCCGGCGATCAAAAGGGGGAAAGTCGAGTGCGCGGCCTTGGCGCCTGCCAGTGACCTGCCTGCGTGTCCTCACGAGGGAAGGCTGGCACCACATGCCCCCTCCTCGCATATGAAGGTCGTCTCCCGCGAACGCGATATGGCCGACGGCCGTGTCTATAATCCGCAGCCCACGCACAGTTCCCAAAAGCGGAGGGGGGGGGGGGAGGGCCAGAGGGAGCTGCCGCCTCCAGCTCTTGGGCATATCGGTGGCGTTGCTTTAAGAAGCGGGACAGAGACCGCTTCCCCAGCGCCTTCCTACATGTAAGTCGGCAGCGCGCTCCGGTGAACACCTCTCGGTACATGTACGTAGGGACTTCGCGATGTGGCGGAAATATCAAATCTCCAATGTGGCGCTGTTTCCTGGAGAACACTTTGGCTTACAGGAAGTTATACGATAGTGTTCCGAGCAGAGCGGCTTCAAAGGAACGCATGCTTGGTACCATGATTGGACCCGATTGAAAACAAAAAAAACACGGTATGCCTTATCTTTCAGATTCAGCTCCTTTGTACTTGAGTTCGGTTATGTCTTTGGAACGCCGACAATGGGCATTTATGTATGTGGCAGCCCCCACGTTCCGAACTTGTTTATTACGGTAGCCAGGTCGATGAAAACTTCTTTAGAAAAGGCCTCACTTCAGATAATCGCTCTTAAAGCAGGCGATCCTTATCTGCCCGTTGTGCTACAGTTGTCAAGCAATACGCTTCTGATAGATGTCTTGGAGGGCCATGGGATGATACAAAGCCGACAGCTGACGGCAATACCCATGCACTACGCAAAGAAATCCCGCGGCAACTACATAGCCCTGAGCAGCCAACAACAGCATAATCGCATTTAGACCAAGAGGCGCGAGGCAAAACCTTCACAGTGCGAGACACAGATCAGCCAAGCGCTTAACAATCCGGCAAAATTCCACCGACCTGGCCAAAACCGCACCTAAAACGACCATTCGCAGCTCGCCGCAACTGCCGCCGCCCACTCGCTTCCCCACCACTGAGAGTCGCCGTCCTCGACAGCCGAGGTCTCTCCGCGGCAGCGTCACGCGGCAGGCGCATGGCTCCGCTCAGCTGAGCCTGCACGCCGGTCAATGGCAGCACCCCTCCCCCCCCCCCACGCCTGCTGCAGGTGGGTCGGCCGGGCCGGCCGCGCGCGTGCAACGCGGGTCCGGGAGTGAGCGACCGGCCGGTCGGGGGCCTCACGCGACCTGTCGCCCGCCCCCGGCCGCAGTCGATACCGCGGGTGGCGACCCCGCCCCGTGGGCGGCCGGGGTGAGGCCGCCGCCGCTGCCCCGCCCCGAATCGCAGCATGACGTCACTGGCCGCCTGGAACCGAGCACCAGAGCGGCAGGCGCAGACCCGCACGGCGTGCCTGGGGCACAGTGGGCCCCTCAGACGTTGCTGCCGCACCTCGGTCGCATCTGCGCAGCTGGACGCGAGATGGGCCGCTCCTTGGCGCCGGCCCATCAGCTGCCGTTGCCGCGCTTTGGTCACCCCTGAGCAGCTGGACGTGAGATGGGCCGCTCCTTGGCGCCAGCCCATCAGCTGCCGCTGCCACTGCCGCGCTTTGGTCACCCCTGCGCAGCTGGACGCGAGGTGGACCGCTCGGACGGCACCGCGCGCGCCACACGCGCACGCTACTCACCATCGCCTGCTCGATCTTGTTGTCGATCGGCTCGATCTTGTTGTCGATAGCGCTGCTGCCACCGGGCGACGCGCTGAAAGGGAGAACGCGGCGTTATGACCACGGCAGCGGGGCGTGACGACGCCGACGGCAGCGCGTGACGATGACATCACGGCCGGCATGAGCTGACAGCGCCCCAGAGCGGAGCGGCAGCAGCGGGGCTCGCGGGGCGCCATGCTGTCCGCACGCGTGGGCCGCATGGCCAGATGTAAGCACAAAGTCTGTGCAGGGCCGTCACGTACTGAATAAAGCGGAACACGTACACCAGGGTCCGAGCGTGTCCGCTTGGCATGTGGAAGAACGGAGTTACACAGGCACCACACGTGCACAGGTAGCACTCCTCATATATCTCGAGGTGGTGGGGGCTCCAGCCGCCAATGCTTTTTAAACTTTATCACTGACCTTGGTGGGTTGAGTGTATGGAGAACAGTAAGTTATCGGTGTACAACAAGCCATCAATGATTTCAACACGTTCACTTGGGCACCAAGGCTCCGTCCGTGCGCGACATGTCATCTGGCAGTCCAGCATTGACAACACGGTCGCCAGGCACCGCCACTTACGTACCCGGCTGGCGCGACCATTGACAACACGGTCGCCAGGCACCGCCACTTACACACCCGGCTGGCGCGACCACTGACCTTCGTCAGAGCTTTCGCGGTTCTTATCACAGCCTCGGCCCAACTCGAGTGCCTCCCCAAAAAAACAGGACGACCGCGACAGGACGCACCAAAACACCCGGCACGCGCCGCCGAGTCACGTGCTGGTGCGACCACCCGCGCTGGCGCGGGCGAGGCACCACTAGAGAACGGCAGGCAGCCCACGACGCTACCCAAGCGCCACCTGCCTCAAAATATCGCCACCCGGTCGGTCGCCACGTGGGCACGGGCCCACGACCCGTCGCCCGCTCCCATCCCATCGCCGTGACCTGACCTCACCTCCAGTGATCGCCGCGGGCGCCGGCCGTCCGAGGCCCCGGCCCCGGCCGCGCCATGAGTGCCGGCGGAGTGGCGGCCAGCAGCTGGCGGCAGGAGCGCAGGCACAGAATGCGATCTAGGCGGTGGTGGACACTCCAGCCCACCATGACATCGGGACCGACTCGACGCAGACCGGCTCGGCGCCTGCCGTCGGCCTCGACGCCACAGGACAGCGCGAGCCACCGACCACGCAGCGCTGGACACGCCCGTGAAGAACAGACGGCGGCCGGCGCGTCCTCCACGCGGCCCCGGACGGCGCACTGCGCGCGACGCGGGCTGCTACGAGCGGCGCGACACGGGCACTGGAGCCGGCGGCGGCGGCGGCGGCGGCGGAGCGGCGGCAGCTGTCCCTCCTGTTGCGCAGTATCCACTGGCCCAGAGCAGGCCGGCCGGCGTCGCCGCGGCGTCCGGCCTTGGCGGCGATCGCGACGGGCCGTCAGCGCCGACACAAACAACCCGCCTGGAGACGGACCAGGTCCGAGCCGGGCCGCACCGGCCCGGTTCCGCGGCTCGCCGCTGACGCCGCCGCTGCGCCGGTCCGGTCGACACCGGAGCCGCGCTGACGGCGGCCCTCTGCATGCACGGGCGGGCCGCGCCGGCGGCGCACGACCGAGATAAACCGTGGCGCCGGCCGCAGCTGAGGCGACACGAGCCGCCGCCGGCCTCTCACCGGGCCAAGCGGCGCTCGCGCTGATGGATGTCCGATCCCATAATGGCCCTCAGCGCCGAGGCAGCCAGCTGGGATCACGTGAGTTACCACTCGTGGTCCGCCCCGTCGCACGAGAGCGCCGTCCCAGCTGGTCGGTGGCGTCATCGCGCGCGCGCGTGTGTTTACGGAGGAGGCCGATTGAACCGGGCTAGCGACAGACCAGATCACCGTTGCCGAGTCGCGCCACGAGACCGGCTCGTGACCAGGGCGCCACAAACAACGGCGCCCAAGGACGATCGGCCGCCGCTGTCAACCGGGTGGGCCGACAGGAGTTCGCCAACGGTAACCAAATGACGAGAAGCTTGGGGCCATCAGTGCAGTATTGAGATTCGCTTTACGGAAGGTACTACTCTTAGGGAAGTTACCGAAGAGACGCTTACCTTGACATCTAGCGGTGGCAGAGACGTTTGGAAATTTTGTCGTTTGCGGTCACAGGTGTTACTGACGGCGGGGAATGTTTTCACGCCTTTTACCATCCGATCTTCCAGCGCCGCACTTGCTTCTCATCTGATATGCCTCGCCCTCCTCTTTTCAATTGAAAAGAAAAAAAGGTATGCTCAAAGCACCGATGGACTTATTTCGAATACTAATAAATTAATGACTTCATGACTGATTGATTGATTGATGGTGATTTATGATGGTTTAATTTAATGACTAATAAATAATGAACGTTTGTAAATCTTCCACTGACAGTTCGCACGCCAAAACTGCCTTCGGAAGATTGTAAAACATGCAATATATCTGAGAAACAAGCAAGCGACGGAACTGTAGTGCAAACCATGGATGGTCTCTTGTAATCACAAACGGCAATGACAAAATATTACGATCTTCCCGCTCGCCTCGACCTCCAGACGGCGCCAACGTTTGTCACCGACGCGTGCCGGTCGGAGACAGCACGCAGCCACGCGTCGCCGCCCCGCCCGTCCGCAGTGGAAGTTTCCACTCCCTCGGCCGGCCGGCCGGCGACGCCGCCCCGCCCGGCGCGTGCTGTCCACTCGGCGGAGGCCAGACGACACGGCGGCGCACGGCGACGCCGGCACGCCGCCGCCTGCCAAGGTCGCCGCTGTACACCACGACCATTGCAGCGGTGACCTCTGCGGGCCGGGCAGGGGTGCACACCTGATGCGCACCTGGCCAGATGACGTCATGGAGGCTGGCCGGCCCGGGTGCACTGGCCGATTTCAAGGAGCAGCCGGCGGCTTGCGAGCACGGGCGGGTGCGGCAAGCACGCCCGTTTCGAGTGCATTTCGAGTCAACAACCAGCTGGTGAGACGCTGACGGGTCGGCGTCACACCAAAGGGAGCGTCCGAACTCCCAACCATGGGAACACGACCGGGTTCGGAGGACAGTCACGCCCAACATGGGTGCGACCCCGCACCTCCCCAGAGCGGGCACCAACCGCTGCCGCATCGGTCTAGCGGTCCGGTGCTGATATATACCCTGTTTACATGGGCAGCTGTGATTCGGATTGAGCCGGGACCCGTCCTCGATCCGAACTATCCGGCCCATGTATACACTCACGCGCCGTTCCGCTGATTCGAATCGTGCGCCGGAGGAAATCCCTTCCCGTGAGAGGATCATCCGTTCAGGAAGGGATTTCGTCCGAATTATCGGCCGTCAGCTGTCTAAACAAAAAAAAAGAAAAATGCCTGGCGCACGCAGTTCTGTTCATGGCCATTTCAGCTTCGTTTGGTGTTGCCGCTTTTCCACGGGTTTTCAGCTATTGCTCGAGACGGTCCAAGTCCAAGATGGTAACGGAAAAGAGAAAGAAGGTGAAGTTGACACCATGCTGCTAAAACTACCCTTATTATTGAGGGCCTTGAGTGGCTAGCAGCACAGAAATCCTCACGTAATTTAGCCTTGCTAGGCGCGTGATGTATGCAGACAGCAGGCGTCGGCGGTGCTCGGTGTCATCTTTCCGCTTAAAGGTTAGATTAATTTACATCTGGGGCAGGCTCCATGCTTCCAAAAGCCAAATGGAGGTAATATGGTCATTTTATATAGCTTTGACCTGTTCTCACTTTAATTTTTGGATTGCTCAAAATTCTTGCAGAGAATGCCTCCAAGTTTCTTTCATTAAGTTAATACCTAAAGGCCCCAGGAGTGTTTTTGCAGATGTTCCCTAAATTAGGATGCTGGTTGCTTGTCAGTTAAATTTGTGTGAGAAAGGTAGCTTAAAAATTGCTGCATGATATGATGGATGAACAAATATAGATCATTGCAGTCAGCTCGGAATGTGAACTTTATTAATGGTAGGACCGAAATTGCCCAATGACGGGCTCAGAACAGCAAGAAAGCAAATGTGAACACTGGATGAAAATAGTTGTCATCATTACTCTGCTAAATCCAAGTTTGTGTGTTCCATGTGCAGGAAAACAGTGCATAAACTAACACCTAACGTGATGGCACATGCTGCATGGAGAACACGTCTGTGTTGCATATCATCACCTGTTTTTGTACTGATGATTAAATATGTCACCTTGGTGCTTTTTTGTGATGGGTGTCTGCAGGCCATGAGGTAGGTACTTGAACTGTTCAACAATTCTTGCAGGGAGTACCAATAGTTTCTTGCATTAAGTGAATACATAAATGCCCCAGGATTGATTTTGCAGACATTCCTCCTGTGACTTGAACATTTGGTTGACCACCTACTGGCAGGAGGGATGTGCTGGATATTGGTGACTGGCTCGTCAAGGAAATATGAAGCTACATCACACTGGTAGACCAAATGGCAAGGAAGTGGGGGCTGGAATATTTGTTTTTGATGTGATTAGGCTGTTTGTTGCTTGTCGGTTTAGTGTGTGTGAGATAGGTAACTCAATAATTCCTGCATGATGCAAAGGATCAACAAATATAGGCAATAGATCATTGCAGTCAGTGCAGAATGTGAACTATTTTTAATGATGGGGCCAAAATTGCCCAGTGATGGTTCCAAAATGTCAAGAAAGCAAATGTGAGCACTGGATGAAAATAGCTGTCATCAGTACTCTGTCAAATCCAGGTTTGTGCATTTCATGTGGAAGAAAACAGTGCATAAACTAAGTAAACCTAACATAATGCCACATGAGGTGCAGAGAACATCTGTGGTGCACATCATTACCTGTTTTTGTACTGGTGAGTAAATATGTTACCTTGGTGCTTTTTTGTGACATGTATCTTTGCAAGCCATGAGTTGGATAATTGAGCTGTTGTTATAATTAATCATTTGTTATGAATTTTGAGCCCAGATTGCTTTTGTCATGACAGCTCTGGGGCTGGTTTACATGTCATGATCTTTGGACTGTGCGAACACAGCTGTTTGTGCCACCTAGTCATCAGTCCATATCAGCCAATGCTGTTGACTGCAAGGA